GACGAGACAGCAGCAAGAAGGCGCAGCAGGACTGAGCGAAACTTTGCCGCGCTGCCGCAGCTATATATATTGGCAAGCCTGGAATGCAATTTTCTGCATCTAAGTTTTCTGTTGAAGTTTAAGATAAAAAAGACGGCTAGTTGTACGCTTGTTTCGCATGTTTTGGGGGCAGTGACCGAGAAAGTAACAAAATGTTTTGTTGTTTCAGTAAAACGGCAAGGTCTTGCAATCCATCTGCTACCAAGCTGGCAGTGTATTCTTCTTGGAACAGACATAGTGCTTGAGCAGCGGCCGGCGTATAGTATCATGGAGGATTGGCCAGAAGGCTATCAGCACCAAACTGTTAACCAAGGCCCCTAACTCGTCGATTTTGAGTCCGCTACTTGCGTGAGCACTGTCAAGTTTTCATGGCAACAATAGCGGCGAACTGCATGCGTAATTGCAATGAAGATAAATTGTGCAATTTGTGATAGCTTTAAAATTGCCAAATTTTTTGGTTTTATACAGTCGTAACAGTAAATACAAAGTCTGAATAATTAACTGCTGATTTTAATAATGCTAAAAAAATTTGTTAACTAAAATCGTTCTGTTCTAAGAAAAAATTTTTTTGTTGCACTGACAGCCTTTAAAACTTTTATTTTTTTAAAAAGTTTAATTTATTACTGACAAAAAGAGAAGCTTATCACAACTGTGGCATCAGATATAAGCTAAAGAAAATAAGCACAAGAATTAAGAGATGACTAAAGGAACAAGACCGATAAAGCAAAAGGAGTACATGTTAAAGCATTAAAATAATAGAAATAACAAATGTTTGCCGATTTTTGTTTGGCAGACAGCGGTCACTGTTCTTAAATTGTCGTAATGATCACACAGTGTTTTTTTCAACTTCTTAATAAATATTATTTTGGAAGTAGAAGTTCTGTAGAACTTACTCCTCGAAACAACAGTAAAAAAGTACAAATAATTTCCGCTTACGATATCACCAAGGTTTAAGATTACAAAGAGCTTTTTGTTGGTTGCTCTTTACCACAAAAATGATACTATAAAGAGCAACAACGGTTATGTAAACCAGAAAGGTAAAACCGTAGTAAGACACATAATTCGTGCAATTAACACTTTCCAGTACTTTCTCTGTTTTTAGTAAAATCTTTTAGAAACTCTGTAAAAACTCAAAAATAAGTTAATTTTGTCTGTATTATGAAAACCAATTAAATAAAATTAAAAAAGCTTCTATAAATGCTTCGTTAAATTAATAAACAGAAAGAAAATTATGCGAAAGAAAGAAAATCCAGAAAGAAACACTGCTGTATTATTAAAAATATTTGTTGTGGAAAAAAGCCCAATGTTTCTTCCAGTTTTCAAGACTAGATATTCTGTTGTTTTAATAACACTTATTAAATCTTCTATACGATAGTAGAAGATACTTAGGTACAACTTTAAAAAAGAAGCTTTCTTTTTTGAAAACTCGCTTAAATCTATTAAGAAATGTTGGATATATTGAAGGGAAAGTTGTTTGAAGCGATAACGATAAAGATGGAGGAAGGGTTGTCAAGCAGATTTATGACGGCTGGACAGTTACAGATAAGGCTGATTGTACAGAAGGTGACGAGGAGCATAAGTAAGGAGATGGAGGCAGCACCGCCTGACGAGTGTGCATGATCGCACCAGGGCTTGAGACCACCTGAGGTTGACCTGGCGGAGGCATTATTGTAGGCGTTACCATCAGCACCCGAAGTCGTTCGGTTTCTGCTCGTAGATGTTCCAGTTCAAGACGAAGTCTGATGTTCTCTTGCTCCAGTACAGCAGCTCGAATTGCCATCTCATCTTCCTGACAAAGATTACTAACTGTGTCAGATAAACATGGATATTTCATAAAAATATAAAATCTGTTATCTGCCTGGTTTTACACTTTTTTCTTGCTTTATAAATTTCTAAACGTCGCTCGAGTGCTAAAAAATTACTTTTTGCCTTCTTGAATCACGACTACGTTTTGCTGCGTCATTATTTTTTCGTCGTCTTTCCCAGTAAGCTTCATCTTTAACAAGTTCTTTCTTTTTTTTCACATTTTCATTACGTACGATTACATTCCTTTGTTGGTTCATCACCTCAATGTCCGACGTAGAGGAAGTTACCTGATTAAAAATTATTTTTTAACTTTTTTTGTTCTTAGAATGTTCTAACATTTTTTTAAAAAAAAAAAGCTAAATTTTAATTTTATTATATTAATTTGTGAAAATTATGACTTCTTGTGCCCCTGAAACCCATACTAAGTAAGGAAACACTGACGACTGCAGTAAGAAGTAAGTTGAGCAGACACGTTTTGAAAACTTGCTCTGTCAGCTAGAGAAGTATAAAAAATGTTTAACTTTATTATTTTTCTTTTGAAATTTTTTTCATATAGAGTGTAAGTAAAAATGTTATGCCCGTTGATAGCCCTTAATTAGCTCAAAAGTGAAAGCAGTAAGAACTAAAAATTGTTTTACTTGAGCTTAAAGTTCACATTATTCCACAATAGTTACATCTGTTATTCAATGATTTAATAAGTGCTGAGATTACTTTTTAAGAGAAAAAAATTCCAAAAGAATTTTGAACAGAAAGAAATTATTTTTCCAACTACTTTTTAAAGAATTAGTTTAAGGCTTTGTCTTTTTTTTTTAGTATTCTAACTGCAGTCATTCTTACATATATTCTGCTTAATATGATAATTTTTTGTAGTATAGCACGAGATCTGCAGTGCACAGTTCATGCTTCTCGTATCAAGATGCAAATAAACTTGCAGACATTTTGGCTTATATTTTCTAACTGTTAAAACATATAGCATGTAAAGCAAGTAGAAATTTAACGCTAAATAAAAAAAGATTTATAATAACAGTGAAGAAAAAAATGAGGAAAGCAAAAAAAATACCTGCGACGGTGAAGACTGTTCAATTTTACGGCTAACATCGGCTGTTGGTACAGATAATGTTGTTACTGCATCGAATGGATCGTAGATTTGAAAAGGACGCATTGTTGTCGCTTTTTCACTTTTAATGTCGTCTTGCAGCAAATTTAAAATGTTCGATGGAACGAATGGGTTCACCAGCGGATTCATTAATGACGTATGCGACAGATGTGGCATACTATAGCTGGAGATTTCATACGGCAACAAACCCTAAACCATTTTTTTGTGTCTTTCTAAATAAATTTTTAAGTCAGAATAAAAAGTTGTGGAGAAGAAAAAGCAAATCTTTCTATGCCTCACTTTTTCATTTCTTTTTTTTTTCTCTTTACTACTCTGGCATAGAAAAATTACTAGAAAAAGAGTAAGTTTTACCGATTAGTGGATACAATAAAAAAGTCCAACAACTGTCTTCAGTTTTTCTTCCTTTTCGATAAAAATTTTTATTTTATATTTATTTCAACAGCATAATTCTCTATCCTTCTTTGGTACGAAACTGTTTTTAAAAACCCAGAAGAAGCTAATAAAAAGTCAAGTGAATCAGATTATCATCTGATGACTGTTTATAGACCAGTTACAAGTTGGCGAAGACGTGTGCAATAGAGCACATTAAAAGAAGGTTCACTTGTTTTGATTGTTTCTCATTGAAAAAACTGCTTAAACCATAATTTTCAAACTTATTTTTTCCAACAAATGAAAGGAAATTGGGAGTAAAGAATACAGAACAAATAAGTCTTATACATTAGTCGATGACTGCTTAGCCACATATACAGCTATCAAAAAGGTGGTAAAAAGGTAAACTGATTTATATCTAAGTTTAGAACCAACTTTGCTAATGTTATGTTTTAAAAAAACACAAAAACATTGAACTTATAAATAAAAATAAGCTATGAATATATCAGAGCAGAAAACTTGCGTTTGCAGACAGTACCAGTTTTTATAAAAAGAGAAGAATTTACATTGAAAAAGTTTTTAAAATATTTAAAAAATTGAAAATACTGTTCGACACAAAAAAGTGAGAGAGAAAAACTACAAGTCAAATAAAAAGAAAAAGCGAAAAAAAACTGTCAATTTTAGAAAGTAAAAACAGAATACGCAAAAAAAAAGGAAAGAAATATTTTTTGAAGATTTAGACCTTTGTTGGAAAGTGAGGGAACGTGTGCGATAAGGACGTCATTGCAGGATCGAGAGCTTTCAGTGAAATGGATTATGAAAGGGAAATGCATTGGAATTCGGTCACCTATTTGCCCGAATTTTCACTTTTATCTATCGACAAGTCGTCTTCCACTGCAATAGCCTCCAATGTCTACTTTCATTTTCAAAAAATTATTCAACAGGAACATAGTCCTTGTTGATTGTTTTTCTTATTGCTGTTATCCCAAAAATTTTTGCCCCCTTTCCTTACTCACCTCGAATCAAAATTTTCCGACTTTACTCGTTCGGATAGATTGCAAACTTCCTTTTCAAATACCGTTAAGTTGTCGAATAAAGAATAACTTTAAACTGTTCCTTATCACCTTAAGCTTCCAGAAACCGAATACATAAACATACAGACAAGCTTTTATGTCAAATTAACAAAGTTGACGACAGCAATATATTTTTGAACTGATTCACATGAATCGAAGTTATTTTTGCTTGTACAGTTAACGTATTGTCTTGTATAAATCTTTTTCTGGTATTATGTGATATCCACCTTTAAAACAGGCAGTACGTGGCCAGCAAAAAAAGGCTATCTAATTTTTGGGCCTCATTTTTTATTCGTACCATGTAACCAAATTCTGTACTTAGTATTCAAAATACTTTTTTGCCTGTAAATTTTTGGTCATTAAAAGTGAACGTAGTAATCTGCAGTCCAAACTTAGGAATAACTGATTAAAAAAAGCCACATCACTGATTTTTTTGATTAGGAAATACTGACAAAAATGTTTTCTTTTAAAACTGCTTATCACTGACCACCTAGTGCACTGAAAACTCTGTCGATAACCTAAAAAAGCTCGAATATATTAACAAAAAACGTTTTATCTGCTCATTCAAAGTACAAATAGTCAAACAATGAAAGTGAGATAAAAGTACTGATTTTATCAGGCGACCCTAAAGTGCTAATAATCTTCCAGTTATCATCGCAGTAAAAGCCAAAAAAAAGTGTTCAGAAACAAAAACAAATAATTATAAATGAAAAAAAATCTTTCGACTAATTTTTTTTAAAGAAATGCAGTTAAAAAGTGGAAAAAAAATTATTTTATGAATTTACCTTGTTTAGTGTGGCTTTACTTCTTTTTTTTCGGACCACAGTGATCAGTTGCGAAAGAAATGGGTCAACCATAGATCTACGAGTCTGCAAAATGCATCAAAAAACTATGGTTGAATAAACAATATAAACTTTTTTTTTGTTATTTGAATCACAACACTACAATAATGGCGCAAAAGAAGTGTAAAATAGTAGAAAAGAAGAAAAAAGAGAGCAAATTTCAGATTTTTTAATATGCTTAAACAAAAAAATTTATATGATCAAACTAAAAAGCTTGCAAAATTTTAATATTGTACTCAGCTACTCTACTGAAATTAGAACATCTTTGTTGGTAGTAAAAATTGAGTGGTCCCTAAAATTTAAACCAAAAATTTTATATAATTACGGCAGTCAACAGCTGTACCTTTTTTCCTACTATTTTATCCAAAGAACACAGAAAAAAACACCATATCCGATTCAGTGATTAATAAGTTGAAAAAATTTCTTAGATTTTTTTTTTTTTGTTTTGGATACTACAAATGCCAACAATCTTCAAAATTAAAATGTAGGCAGAAAAAACAGAAATCCTCAGCTATCGTATTATCACGTCTGATGAACAGTTGCAGCAGTTTCTTGACACTCTTCTAACAGTATCGTATTGCATTCCAGAGCCTAATTTACCGATTCATATTAAGCTGATAAATTACTTTTAATCGTCGCTGTTTTCAATACTTCATATTTTTTCTTACTTCAAACAAAAAAAAAAATCACTTTTTTCCTTTACGTCGCACTTTTTTTTGTTTATGTGCGTTAACTGACATCATTTACACCCTTAATTTATCCAATTTTTACAGTTTGTTGTTTTCTACGATGTTAGTATTATATTATTATTGTGCACGATTAAGCTGTAATGAACTTGTTTTTTCAACATACGACCGAGTGGTATCCACCCTGCGTGCTTTATCACCAATCTCTTTCATGAAACAGAATTCTTCCTTATGTTTAGGTACTGAAAAAGTACGGGGAACGGGTTAGGGTGGGAGAACACGAGGGGAAGGGGAAGCAAAGACGGACTGTAAGGGATCTGTACAAAAGTCTTTCTTATTCAAATCGCAAAAAAAAAATTGGCTCCATTTTTACATTTTTTTAAATAATGAAATCAAGAAATGTTTAATTTTTTTCTTTCAAAATCCCATTTGTTATTATTTTTATGTTTAGTTAAACTGATTGAGGGAAAAAGAAAGTAAAAAGTAGATAAAACCACATAACCAGAATTATTCCACACTGTTGTTGTTGTCAGAAGTATGCTCGTTTATTTATTTATTTA